ACCTCCTGTTCACGAAAACCACACAAACATCGACGAATTTGCGTTTTTACAAAAAAACGTCCCCAAGACAAACGACACACCCCGCGCGGCCGCAAACGCACGTGCTACCTTGTTGTTGCTGTTGTTGTGGTGGTAGTGGTGGGTGGTGGTGGTGGTGGTGGTGGTGGTGGTGGTGGTGGTGGTGATGGTGGTCGTCGTGGTGGTTGTGGTTGTCGTTGTTGTTGATGTTGGTGGCGATGGTGATGGTGATGATAATAGTGTTGATGTTGATGATGATGATCATGATGATGATGATGATGATGATGTTGTTGTTGTTGCTGTTGTTGCAACATGGGTGCTGTATGCAACAGACTACTGTTAGGCGCAGGCCCAGTTGCTGTGAACACGATCTGTATCCCTTGCCTGCAGTCAACTGCATGCTCGCGAAAGTAATCCAGCGTGTTTTTGTCGACCTCAGTCCCGGCTTGGTTCCTCATGATGGCTCATGGTCAGGGCAACACTGCAAGTTGTACTGTCGCCTCGTCTGAATGCACATTTTACAGCAACCCAGCCACAAACTCTTGCACCGAGAAGAAGGATGGCGTGAGCACACATCGTTCGGAAAGCCAGGCTACGAGTAGAAATGCGCGTGGCTTCCTGCATGTGTAAATGCCTTCAGCACTCAGCTCCGTGTCGCGTTCAGTGTAGACTTGTAGATCAGGTCCTCGTTTGTTTGATGTGGTTTCTGCATTTTGCGGTGATGCGTGAGACAGTAACTGCTTGTTCGGAGTCTGAGGCCTACTTGTGGCTTCTCATGATTCTTCTGGCGCCAGACTCAGACAAAGCTGGCCTTGGGTTCCAAGCTTGGCATGGCCTCATTGTGTCTGAGATAAAGTTCTGTACGACCCAGGTCACCAGCCCCAACGTGGTTGAGATCTGGGAAGGCCTGTGCGAGACGCGAACAGCTCCAATTTGCTTTTGGCCAAAATGTTGCAGGCATCCTCCCAAAACCGCCAAACACAGCCATGAAGCTTGCAAGGCTTTAGGCATTGGGTCCAAGCAGGAGCTGGTACGCTGAATCTTTTCTCTCTAAGAGTCCAGTTCTTCCCCAGAATCCTCATCGGCAGTGATGCGGCGTCATGTGCAGAGGTGTCTTCACGTTCCTCTTCTTCTGGATTTTGATTGCCGTCCGCCCCTGACAGCAGAGGTATCTTGTGTTCGTGTCCCGTCGAGTCTCGCTGCCAGCAGTGGCGCATGTTTTTGGCCTCTAGTGAAGGCAGCAGGCAACCAGCCAGTTCAGGAGTTGGGTGTAAGAGCTTTGCACTGTGTGTGACAGAGAGAACAGTCCGTTTCGGTGCAGCCGCTGCTCAGATTGCGTACATGGCCGCTGGCAGCTCAGATTTCCACTCATGTCAGGAACAAGGCATGCAGAAAGGGCACCCCAGAGAACAGCTCCATGTCAGAAGCTGTCGCTCTCTGCATTCCATAATACACATCTAGCCCGAGGACCGTGGATATTTTGGTTGCAGGTCGGCAGAGGACGAGGACAGATCGACATAGTTCTTCCGTTCTTCCTGTGCAAGTCGAAACTCTCGGCTTAAGGAATTCTGTTCGAAACCGAGGCGAGCAGAGTGCGCGGTGTAGCTGGCAGCTAGGCAAAGGAAGCAAAACGAAAGATTCGCTCAGTTGAGGGAAGGGCAAATCCAGGCCTACCGGAGCACACCTGTTCAAAGCCGTGTCATGACACTTAGAACCGACCATTAGTTTGTCCGGAGGCAACAACAGTTTCCCTTGCGCCGAAAGCAGCTTGGAGACAGAGACGAAAGCACGAAGCTTTCCAGACAATGTTGCAAATTGGACACACCTTGGCGCACGGAGGGCCTCAGGATGTGCCCTGTGCTCGAGCTTGGGCTTTGTCATAGTCACAGCTTCGCACAGCCCGGTGCCGCCCTGTGCCAGGAGGACGACGAGGCAGGACGACGCTCAGTGCCGAAGAAACGATTTGAAAATAGCCATTAAGGTAGGGTACCTTGATATGGGGCTGAAGAAGACTGTTCTGGCTTCTTGGTGCTGGCTCTGACGAAGTCGCAGTCCCACCCGTTTGTCGTTTCATCCTGACGCGACAGGCTCAGCAGTACCGAAGCAGGGTCATCAGCCGGAGCCTCATACCTCCGAGGACTCCTCGGGGCGTCCGAGCCTGTCAGCTGACTACAAAACTCCAAGCTTCTTGTGTAAGAACCACTCTTGAAGCCGCACCTGCACACTGGAAGATATGCTTCATCAACCGTACTATGAAAGACTCCCGCAAGCGTCGCGAATCTCGGAGAAGCGATTCGACTGGCTGCAAATCGAATTTGCGGATTGAATTTGCTTGAAGACTGAGGCCGCTTATCTCGAACTAGGAATGCCAAGCCCCTGGGTTTTGGCATGTTTCGGCCACTAGAGATGTCGCAGCACGTGCGGCCAAAAAGTGGTGGGTGCGGTGGCAAGTGAGGAGAGCCGGGAGAGTGGCCCAGAAGCAAAGCGGCCGAGGTGCCGAGCTCAGCGCGGAGGATTTGGCGAAGATCCAGAGCCACCTCCTGCAGGCGCCAAGTGCACTCCCTGCACTCTTCTTCCCCCCTTTCCCCCCCCTCTCCCTCCCTCTTTCTCCCTCTCCTTCTCTCCTTCTCTCCTTCTCTCTTTCTCTCAGTCTCCCTCTCTCTTGCTCTCCTCTTCTATCCTCTGCTCTGTTCTGCCCTGCCTGCTCTGCGCTGCTCTCTCTGTCTGCCTGTCTCGCTCTCCCTCTCCCTCTCTCTCTCTCTCATATGGATGCTTTTGCTGGTCCTGGGGGTCAGTTGAGGTCCACGGCCACCACCTCACAGACGAAGAGCTCATCAAGCTCATCGAGGCCGACCCCATGTCAATGCGTTGGCCAAGCATTTGCGACTTCAGAACGGGCTGAGACTGCTGTCGTTTCTTGCGCGAACTGGGGGCTGCGGTTGTTCTTGTGTAAGAGCTCCTGGAGCACTTGCAGGGACCTGAGCAAGGTTCATGCACGACTCAGGCCCCTCTGGATGCACTTGCCAAAGCAAGTGCGCACATCCCTTCTCGGAGTCGGAGCTAGCAAGAGGCGCTTTAAAGGCTTCCGCTTCACCTAGAGCCTGAGCGGAGGCCGAGCAGAAGGCCGAAACTCCCCGGGTGAAGGATCCCGCCGGAGCCCCAAAGAGAGCGCAGCGAGACGCCAGCGCAGAGAGAGCTCTTTAGGCTTTAGGCGAGGCCAGGAGAGGCCTTTTGAGCGGTTCGCCCTCCGCCAGGGCGCGAACCTGCGAAAGGTGGCTCCCATGGACGAAGAGGTGCCCTCCCCTGTCGGATCCTCTCGGGCGAATATAAGAAGTGCTCGCTCGCACCTTCTCTGAGTCGTATCATGTCAAACACTCGACAATGCAGGCTCCAGCGGCGAAGATCGCAGGCAGCACCGCCATAGTTTGCCAGGTCAAGAGTATGCTTATGGGCCTATGGGCCTACACTAAGTTGCCGTGGCTTTTACTTGTCAGTACGTTTCAAAATCCTGTACTGAGCTGTCCGACCGGACCCACGGCGTTGCTTTCCAGGATGCTGACATCAAAATCCATGCCATAATGATGACCTTCTACTGAATATATTCAATCCCTAGAGAAAATCATTCTTTTTTATCAGGATTGAGCCTCCCGTGCGCAAGTGTTACTTCCTTCCAGGCCAGGGAGACAACGTGACTCCACCAAAGGCCTGGGACCTAAGCTGGTCGGTGGAGGGTGGCTTGCTGGGGCTAGCGGCGAAGTCTTTTCAACCACTGAGCCCCAAGAAGAGGAACGGCCTCATCTTTTCACTTGAGACGACTCTTGCTGCTATTGGCTGGTGTTCCCATGAAGTTTGGATGGTTCTGGTCGGCACAGGGTGCTAACTGTTGGTGCTTCGTGCAGCCCTCGCCCCCTAACAGACAACCCAAGAGGGATACCGGGATACCTTCAGCTGCAACCAGCAACAGAACCGCAGGAATGCAAGCATGCAGCGACCGAGCCACAGGAACATAAGACTGGAGCCTGCAGGGGGGCAAGGAAGCGGGACGGGCGAGGCGGGGAGGAGGGAGGCATCTTGCTCAACGGGAATCTTGCTATTCTTTGCTAATCTCGGCTGTGGGTGGAAGGGCGGGGGGACCGGTTAGTGGATCTGGATGGCCGGGCCGAGGCGGATAAAAAAGTGATGGGGATGTTAATTGTGAGGCTGATGATGATGTCAAGACAGGGCGGTTTTGATCGAATAGACGAGAATGCCCGTGAACTCCCGTGACGGTGTGGAGGAATGTTGCAGGTAGGCTGCTTCGAAAAGAGGCTTTAATCATGACATTTCTGTATGGTCTTAGGGCACAGGCTCAATTCTCATTTGCTGATTGTGAGGACGAGGTGTTGTCGACGTTCGCAGCACTGCAAAAATCCATCCGCCTCAGTAAACGTCTCCTGATGTTTTGACACGGCTGCTGTAGCCCTAGTACTCTCGTGCCAAAGCCCCGGACCGTCTTATCGAACCGCAGGGCGCAGCTCCAGCTCTTCAGCATACCGGCCGCGCCCTCGTGTGCCAGCATGAAGCCACAGGGTTTCTGCTTGGAGTTGTAGAACTCCGAAGGGCCAACTGTCCCACTGGCAGCGTGATGGAATGGAACTGAAGCTTGCACAGAAGGATTAGCTGGAGCCCGAACAGTGTTGCTTGTTGAGAGGACTCCCGAGGTTGGTATTTGAAGCCCTCTCTTGCTCGCCATCTCCCCGCTGTCGTGCACAAGAGCTCTCTACACAACAGCAGCTGACATTGCAAGACAAGACACCACCAAGGCTTCGGCTTTGCTTACGACCAGATTGGAATTGCAGCTTCGCGGCAATTCAGAAGGAATCACCCACGGCACGTTCCCGTGCGCTTTTCAGGAGGTTCCATTTCAATCAGTACTCGCCAAACTACACACTGCAATGCAAGCCACCTTGCTTCGCAGCTCTCTGGCGACACGCGCGCGCGCAGACCGCAGCCGCTTGCGAATCTAACCGGTTAGAGTCTTGTCCCCTGTTGATCAACAGGGCCTAACAGCATAACTCCTGAAGGTAAGACCTGGAACCTAACGACCATACAGGCCCATGATCTTGAAATCCAAGGTGGACAGCCAGAGAACCGTGGCCGTGAAAGTGCAGCGGACTGGAAACGCCGCGACCTCTACAGCATTCACAGACTGTACAGGAACATGCGCTTGTGGCAATGGCACTGAGAGCAACCAATAGTTACAGCAAGCTACAATGGACAGAGGATGCAAATTATGTAGGTCAAGTGTCGAGTGCTACCTACCTGGCCGTTGTGAACTCAAGACAATGACGAAGATCCGAAGGTCTCGGCAGAGTCAGTCCCGGGAGTCCTCAAGTGGCAAATTCCCGAAAAACATAATCTTGACCTGGACAGCAAGAGTCAGCCCAGTAAAGTGCCTCGTAGCCGGCGTCTCGCGCTGTGACATGCAGTGCAACTCCTGCACGTCTACACTCTGCAGCTCCCAGCTCCCAGAGCCCGCAATGCCCGCATTTGGGGAGTCTCTGAGAGGTCAACACAGAGGCCTCAGTGAAGTACCAAACGCTCCTGCCTGAGTGACCTGCTGAATGCTTAGATTACTTAGATTCTTAGATGCCTGGAAGTGGCCCTTGAAAGTCGCTTGCAGGCGCCCGGGCCGTGCACAGAAGGACGAAGACTTTACCCACATTGAGGGTGCTGCACTCGGACTCGTGCACTGCTTCCGCTTGTCGGAGACGGGTACGAAGCGGGAAATGAACACGGTCCCCAGAAACAACACAAACCACACCGAGGAAGGGAAACTACAGAGTTTGAGCTTTGGGTGTCTTAGTTGGCGATGTGGAGGCGAAACAGCGACAACAGTGCCTCTAGCAGTTCGCTGCACGCATATACTTCGATCACCGCAATGACTGGGCCATGGATTCTAAACGAGACACTGGCGAGCCCTGCGGCCGACGGCTTTTCAATTCTCAAGGTAGCGGAGCTCCCCGGCTATGCCCGGCTTGTACAGAGATGCTCGCTGACCGCCAGGGTTTTCATTCAAGTGAAAAGCAGCACGAAAGATATCCAAGGATGACTCTAAGAACGAAGTCGAAACTGCTACGGGGCATCCGCAGACATGAAACTTTTGCGATAATCTGGTTCAGCGGTTTTGTCTGGGGCAAGGAGGTCTGGGAAATAGCCCAACTGGCAAGCTACACTGTTTTGGCGGCAAGGCTTTTCATGCTTCTTGCAATGGGCCGTGGTGCGCGCATGGAACATCAACTACCGCAGCGTCTTTAAGCCCTTCCCGCTCACCAAGACTCGCGCAAACGACACAACTTCATCAACAACAATCTCCAGTTTCACAAAGAACTACAATAGTCTCATAAACTCTTGACAGTCGCCGGTTTCCTGACTCACTGGATGCCCCCACAGTCCAGAATCTAGCTGGTGGCCAGCGGATCCAACAAGAAAGTTCTTCTATCGCCGTGTCTTATGCTGTTGCATGCAATGCTTGTGGGTGTGGGGCTGTTGGTTCTGTTGGAGTGCTTGGGCTGGCTGTAGCTGTAGCCTGTGACTTGTGCCTTTGTCTTTGGTGTCACTTGTTTTTCTGTTTCTAGCAAAGAGCAGTCTCGAACAGAGGCCCCCTGGTGTGACCTCAAACAACCCCTCTGAACACGTCTGCAGAGTGCTATGGGGAACACAAGCAAAATCACATTGTAACTGGTTCCCGGCTGTCTGGGCCCATCCACCCCCCAGCCCAGAATAAGACTCTAAGGAGCCCATCCCGTACACCCCCAAACCGGAAGCCCAGCCCAATACCCAAAAGCTTGAACCTCACCGCCAGCCTTGAACCGGAAGCCGAACCCAACCTGAGCCGAGCTGAAACCGCCAGTCCAGCACCAGAGCTTTTTTCCGGAATCCGTCGCCGGAAGCCCCTGAGAGGTCCCGGACCAGAAACGCAAGGCGCCAGCCAAGCCTTAGCAGATGTTTGAGGATCGACCACCGCTGTACCCACCAATGGCCCCCGCCCGTTAACCGGAGGCCGAACGACTCCCTCGAATGGCCCACCCCTGCCCTGTGTGTTGGTTCCGACTTCGGCAGCCAAGCCACTTCGGCTGTGCCGAGACAGCAGCTCGTCCTGAAACATTCATGAGAGCCTTGAGCCTCGACCTTGGGCTTGTGCGCCTGTGAGCCCTGAGGCTGGGTTTCCCCTCCACAGCTGGAACCAGCCCACAACGTTTCAGCCGAACGTCAGCTTTGATTCAGATCCTCGAACCAGAAGTCAAGTCGCGCATCCTGAGGCACCTTGACCTTTGCTCCGGGCGAGTCGGAGAAGGTGCAGAGAGTGCTTGTGGCGCCGCGCGCAGCAGACCGCAAACCAATCCATCACTCCCATGTAAACCGCATTGAATTCATTGTGTTGAGGGGCTAGGCGACAAGAAGGTGTGTGGGCAAGAAGCGAAGCAAGGTCAATCACTATGCACAGTAGGTCGAAACACAGTTAAATGGATGAACGAGCCTGGCTCCCGGGCTATTCAGCTTTTTTTGGCTTCTTGGCTTTCCTGCTCAGCTGCATTTTGGCTGCTCTGCTACTACTACGACAACGACGACGACACCGACTGCTACTACTACTACTACTA